GCAGCCACCTCCAGAGCTGATTAAGAGGCACAGAGCTCCACAGATTGTTTCAGAAGCTGCACTGATTTTTGCCAGATGAAGATTTGTTTGAGCTGCTTGCATCCATAGAGCTCTTGCCCAAGTCCAGCCCACAAACCATGTAATACTGAAATGACCTTGCTACCCCCAGCCTGTGCTAAAGTATGAATTGTCCTTGGACCCCCTTCTTTTACTTCTTGGTGACTGCATTCCAGGGGAAGAGAAAGGGCAGCAGATTTTTGGATGGAGAAATGCTGGAGAAATACCTGAGGTAGTCCAGATTTGGAACCAGTAATTCACCTGCTCATTCAGTCATGGTATGTGCTACAGAAATCTCTAGCTGCGAGAGCACTTTCTTTACCCCTGAAATGAGAAGTCCCACTGCCTATAATGGGTCTGAGCCCTGGCCAGTGGTTATGTCTGTCCTAGAAATCTGCAAACAAAAGGAGTCACAGACTCTGATTTACTGCCTGCACGAAGTGCCACACATTCAGCCAATCCTTTGATTATTTTTTTTCTAATGTTCCTTGGAAAAGTTTCTTAAGAGAAAATTCACAGTTTTTTAGAGAGGAAATATCTCTCTGCCACCAAGACCAAAAAAACTATCTGTTCCTCTACTGCAAAACTGGGGATGCTGTCACCGTGTGTATAACCACACTGCAGCACAACACAACATCACGTGCAGTCTCTTTGAGTGCTTGATCTATGCAGCTGCATACATCTTTACCAGCGTGCCAGCCATGCAGCACCCAACTCTGCTGACCCCAGCATCATACACAGGCAATTTAGAGCCCTTTGAAGAGCTGTCCCATTAGGTATCTTCCCAAAAGTCTGGCAGTGCTCTGAGTATTAAAGCTCATTGAGATATTTTGATATTAGTGCCCTCATGGATGAGAAAACACAGGAATAGATTTCAGCATTTCTTATTAGCATTTCATACTGGAGAATTTGAATATTTCCAGGGGAGAGATGGGGATGGAAATAACAGCATGCTGGCTTGGTTTTGGTAGATATTTCATATAAAGAAGCACCGATTCTCAAAGTTGTATTTTATGACAAAAACGCTTAGTGTCAAAAATTGGTGATAAGCTGAAGTTTTAGCTTTCACAAGGGAAAACAAACAACCTCAGGATGAACATTTTTTAAACAGATCAAATCAAAATAGAGCTGAGTTATGATACCTTGAGGACAGGTTCTCCCTCTCTTGCTGCTACAGAAAAGCAGACAGAAGAGAGTTGGATTGGGTCTGGCTCTTTGAAACCAGTAAATGAGATTTTAACTTAAGCACAATAGGATTTTTCTTCTTTTTCTTTCTACTTCAAATTTGATTCTTATGAAAGTGAGGGATTAATACAACAGATCCAAGCTCAGTGGAAATAAAACTCTGCCTGCACTCTCTTGCTAAGATATTTAACTCTTGCTACACCCTCCAAAACCACGGTAATTGCCATTATTTCACTCTTCAGCATCTCTGTAGTGCTCATACTGCTAATTAAGCTGAGACTCATGCTTTAGGCTAAATAGGATATTAAAATCATTGAAGTGGGCTGTAAACCCCACTTTATTTGGAAGACTAACAAGCAGAGAAATCTGGAATCCCATTATCAAGTTATTCCAGTTAGGTTCTTTGCAATACATTATTCATAATACTTACAAATTTGTCACTGGGAGATATATAGCATATGTATATACTAAAGTTTAATACAGATTGGATGATAATACAAGTTTTCCCACAGATAGGTGTACCTTACAAGGAGATCATGTTCAGTGTGTTCTTTGTATTTTTAGTTTGGTTTAACTCTTTTTTTAGTTGATGGGCTGGCAAAAAATTTTAAATGATTTTTCTGGTGCTCCAAAAAAGATAATGAACTATCTGCTGCTGGCAAGGCAGTTTCCATGTGTACTGCAGGCTCTCACAAGAGTGAAGGTTTCCAGATGTGAAGATGTGGATCTCCTTCCCTGGTTCCTCCAGGAAGTGGTAAAAAAAAAAAGTCCTGAATAAAAATTCTGGTGTGTGACATGAAAGGTTTTACAGAGCGTTTGACTGGATAATAATTTTTGCCACTTCCACATTTTGACTGCTCACCAGACAGTGGGTGATGAACCTAGGTGACACCCTTGAGATGTGGGCAAATGGCTTGATATCTGTCTCAGAGAGGGGAAACTGAGCAGGAGATGGGCTTGAGGGTCATTTTGTGATGGGCATTGTAAACAGTCCCTTCTCATCAAACCTTGCCACTCTCCTGGTCTCCCTCACTGCCCTTTCAGCGACCAGGAACTGAAGCTGTGCCACCTCTGAAACCTGTAGACATGCCTGACATGGCACTAGAAGGAAGAGATGCTGTTCAGTGATGAGACACAACATTATCCTCACCCAGAGATAAGAAAAAGTCAGGGTGGGCAAAGGTGGGGTCTTCAGGCTGCGTTTTGGTTTCTAAAAAGAAACAAAGAGAGTGTGCCTTCCTTGGAGAGCAAGTTCTAATCCAATCTAGATGGTAATCAGACACACTGCCTTGGAGGTGGGAGCCAGATCTGTTGGAGATGTTGCAATGACAGAAGCCCCATTTCCAGGAGATGCACAGGGACAGGAGCCTGGGAGGACTGGAAAGGAGAGCTGGTGGGATGGAGGTGTGAGAAAGGTTGGGTCAGAGCACAGCTACAGAGCCTGGGGCCAGGAACATGCTGGAGGGACTCTCAGCTTCAGCATCAGCCAGATTAACCCCCTCTCTCCTTCCCTAGACTGCAAAAGATAGAGTGGAGGATTTCTCACACTAGCTAAAACCAATTCAGCTCAACAATATGTGATAATACTTTGTGTTGAAGACAGATATGCTTCTCTTGTGAAGTGTCTTATCTTATTTCCTAGGGATTATCAATAGATACACTTCACAATGGTTCAAGGAACCTGAACTACTGTGGGAGGCTGCCAGGCACTTCAGGGCATCCATTTGACAGAGTTGTTTAAGAAAGGACTCATTGATGAAAAGCAATGCTCTAGTTAGTCTGTAAAAATATAATTAATAAGATTGTCTTTTATAGCCGTCCATCCCACATCTGAGCAGTTTTCAGCTTAACATTTGTCAGCAGTGTGAATGTCAACAATAAGATCTAAGAGGAATTGTCATTTTTTTCTGAGCCTAATGCCAGTTCAAGCTGCAGACTTGTATGTTGATATTCACACTGCTGACAAATAACTGGTGTCTTCGTCAAGTACATGTATTATTCTTCACTGACGTGAGACACAAGAGACTTGGTTATATGAACTCCCACAGCCTTTTCAAGGCAGCTCTAAATTTGTCTGATTAAATTTCTTTTCCGTACCTCCCATCTACCAGCAGCAGAGAGCAGATCTGAAGAGCAATTTCTTGCTAGGCACAAGTTGCCCTGGAGAGTTACTGCTCCCGTAGGCATATTTTACAGCCTTGGCAGAAATCATTCACAATTTGGCATTAGGCAGACAAATACAATAGTTGTTGTTGAAACAAATACAACTTCCCACTTGGAACTGAACCAATCCACTGTGAACAGTCCTAGGTAGATTAGGAACTACAAGTAAGAAATTTTGTACTGTTACCAATCCAGTAGGACTCCAGTTTCAGTCCTCTATAGATGATTTTCTTGAAGTGCAGTAGACAGAGTGAAAGCTTACCAACTCCTCAAAAATAATAAGCATTAATTTAAACTAAGCTAGTATAACAAGAATACTTACACAAATTTAATAAGATAGTATATGCAGACTTTCTTATTTAAATTCTTCTCTTTTGATGCTCTTGGACATGCTGTCCTTCAAATCCTGAATAATTTTTTCAGACAACCAGAAAGTATGAGCAATGCTCCACCATTGTGATATCCCTGATGGGGCTCTTCAAAAGTCTTGCATTTGCTTTGAATGCAAATAACTTTTTCATGAAAACTATTTTTTTTTCCCTCCAAAAACCCTGTGACTCAGATGTCACTGCAATATCTATTGAGAGTTATGGGTTGAATATTGCACTCTTATCTGTGAGCCTGGTCACCCACCTGTATTACAACCCCTGCCTGAGACCCCCTTCTATGAAACAGTGACTCAATGAAAACACAACTGTAGGGTGTCCTCAGAGCAGCACTCAGACCAATAGAGGAGAAAAGAAACTCCATCCAGTTGTGAGAATACAATTCCCACAAGGTACTTCCTTTTCTGAATCAATTTATTGGATTTAGATTTGGAGTCTTCGTACAGATTTTCAAGTTTTGACTTTTTCTACTAGAAAGTTGAAATCTTTAGTTAAAGAAACGATCCCCTGTGACATTTTTCTGTGTAACTGAAGTCAATACTTTCTAAGTGCCTGGGATCTATGCAAGCACATCTATCACAGAGGGAGAGGTAGGGGAGCTGAAATTGTTGCTACACAAAGTGTTGTACATAGACTTCACATGGGCTTTTAAATTAAAGGAAGCAGGTTTTGAATTTGATTCTGTAGATGATCATTTTGAAGCAAGAATAAACCGGAGGTAGAGTCTCCAAAAGAAAAATTACACCAACAACCCTAGAGTTTGGGTTAGAATAGCTTGCATAAATTTGAAGTGCTGAAATTAGTGATGGGTCTGGGTCAAAAATCTCACATCCCACGTGTACATTTTAAAACAAAAACCTATCAACATTACTCAGCACCCTACAGCATTATAACTTTGTCAAAGTTCACATTAATCTGAAAATTGAGGCTCTGTCCCATATTTATTTATTTTTCTCCTCCTCATGCCCATGGCTGTGCAAAATTGAACTTTGTCCTTTACACAGGCAGGAAAAGGTACATACAGAGACTTTGACAAAAAAAACACAACACACCACCACCAAACAAAACCAAAACATTGAGCATTGGATGCCTCTGTCTGCATTTTGCCTTTAGGATGCCTTTGAAGAAAACAAGGTGTTAGCAAAGACTTGGGTCAGTCTTTGTGGGTTTGCATTACACAGAACATATTAAAAGCATCTGTAGTCTTACCTTTTTATGGCTTTGTAGCAAATGATGACAACTACAAAGAGGAACACTAGTGTGGCACAGCATACTGCAATGATAATAACCAGGCCTGGCCACCAGGTCTCTTCAGTGGGGCAGAAGGTAGACTTGGGAGCTGTAAAGAGAGTGTGGAAAAATGCATGAATTCTCCCACATATGTAGTGTATAATCAGATACACTTTAGTCATCCATATAATAGCACTATGCCAGGTCAACCGATATATAAGAAGAGGTTATTTCATGTTTAGGACATTTATTTATTTATTTATTTTGCCTCAAGCAGTCTATCTCCCTGCTTGGTACTAGATATTTCTTGCCATGCTATCCAGATGGCCGAGTTCTCTGTGCCAGCGTTGTCCACAGGCTGGCACCCAGCACAGAGGAGAAAGGCTCAGCTCTGCTACCCACAGGAAAACTCTCCCCCCTCCACAATCTCCGTCTCCTGCTGCATCAGCCTTAGTCTTAGAGAGACGTCACGCTGATAAGGGTAGGCTTTCAAACCTCATTAGGGGAGGTTTATCGGGGAGCAGCAGCAGTGCCTACCAATCAGTATCGCAGCCGCTATCATTGTAACCTTGGAGCAAGGAGGGGGAATTTGTTTTAAAAGAACAGGAATTTTATTACATTTATTAATTGCTTTTAGAGGACTGTGGCTATCAAACTTCCTTCCAATTAAATTGTCCGATGTTTAAGAAATGTTAACCTTACGAAATGTTAACTCATGAAAGCATAAGTAATTGTTATTGCATTTTTCTTATTCAACTTAGGGCTAGAACTGTGCATTTAATACTACTCAAAACAAGCACTATTTTACATCAGAAGTAATATTGGTGGCATTTAGCTCAAATCTTTTCTTCCAGAGTTATATTTTTTTTCCCCATGCTTTAAGGGACACCTTTCTTGAAGGATGGTGAGCAACAGACAATGACAAGAGCAGTACTGGTTATTGCAGAGGTGGAAGAGCCCCTTCCCCCAGTGTACACAATCACGTAACCTCCATGAGAATTTATGCCTTGCTAAAGGAAATTTAATAATAAATCAGTTAATGGGAATAACTAAATCTGCATGTTCATAAAGCAGATAAGAGAATCAAATATAGCAAAAGGCACTTTTTAAGTCTAATTATATGATCAGATATATCCTATATTCTGTACTTCTTTTTGTACACATCACAAACAGCTGTACAAACTAAAATATGTCATCACACTTATTTATTGTGAGCTGACATCCTCCGTGCATCCTATGTTTAAGAATAAACATTCACATACTTTGCTAGGTAAATACTGAAGTACACAATTACTGTGCACTTCTGCTTTCCACTGGTATGATTATAGAAGAACCGATAACATTAATCCTGAGAAATCTGCAGGAGCATCTTAGACTAGGTAAAGAGCTCCTGGTGCAATAAAGAAGCAATCAAAATAATCAAGCCATCAGCTTGATAATTTATAGGCAGTTCACCATTTGGTGCCATGAAGTGCTCACGTTTCTCAGGTGCATCAGCCTTCAGCACATGCTATCACTATGATCATACTTGCCTAGCAAATATTGACTTCAAATTACTATACATACATTGACTCTGAGGGTGTTTTCCTTTGTTTCTGTTTGTTTGCTCTTCTTTTGTGTGTGTGTTGTTCTGTTTTGTTTTGTTTTCCTCAATAGGAGAAAAGAAACAAAGCTGAGATTTCAAGTGATTTGTAGAACTAAGGGTTACTGGATCCTCTTCTGACAATGAGTTCACTTCAGCAACAGAATTTCTGCTTTCTTACCATGATGTTAGCTGCAGAGTCAGCTTTCACTATAGATGGAACTATTTATTGTGTTGTGATATGAGCTGATATTTTCTGAATTATTTCAATACTGTTATTTTCTAACATAACAGAGGGGATTTCAAAGATGAGAAAATGTTTGTACGAAGGAGCATGCAGTCTTAGGGCCAACTCTACCCTCTTGATGTTGCCCTGAGAAACAAAAATAGTTCCACTGAAATCAAACGAAACACATGCGTCAGCATATGCCACATACAATTAGATACAATCATACAAAATGGTAGGCTCGTCTTCCTCCAGTGCAGGATCAACCAAACTAGTCACAGAGCAAACCAAGATGGTGAGACTGGGCTGCTCTTCAGCACAACAAACGAGACTGACAAACGGCAGAGAAAGGGTCTAAAGCAACACCTCTCATGTGCCTTTGTAGCATGTGCTCCTTCATGACTTATCATAGGATTTTTACATGGAGAATAGATAAATTCGGAACAGAATAGTGTATATGACTCCTGACAGCCTACATGTAGTTACTGACGACAGGAAATAAGAGTTGCTGATGTAGAGATAACCCCTAATTCACACTACTCAGTTCCCTTCCTCACTGGTCCACACCAGGCACTCAGAAAGAAGTGCAAGAAATCACAGTGGAAGCAGTCAAAGCCTGTTTATTAGTAGCTGGTGGTTTACACAGCGTTAAAAAATATCCTCTATTTCTAATGCTTACTCTTGCAATGCTAGGTAATCTTGTTTGCCTTAGACACATCCACTCTTCCCAATAAACTTCTGGTTGTGTGCTAGTTTCTGCCTTCCTCAATATGCATTCATATAGCCCTCATTACTGTGACATTTCTACATCTTCAATGCATTTCTCCTCACAATTACTCTCTGAGGAAGAACAGAGCTGCTTTAATCCTCTCATACTAATGGGAAGACAAAGCCTGGCCCATTTGGATGTCCCATATGCCAGGCGCAAGGCACAGGAGTACTGCATGCCTATGAGCTGCAGCTGAGAAAGTCAGCATGGAGCAAACTTTCCCAAAGCATCAGCAAGGTGCCCAGGAAAGTGCCATGTCCTCAGAAAGGCCCCCATTTGGCTGTCAGTGCTAGGGAGACATTGATGTCTCCACTCCTCTGGGCTGGAGTTTGAAGTCCTGACCTGCTCCCTGTGATGCCCACGTGCTGGGATGGCTCTCCATCCTATGCCAGCATCGCAGCTCTAAAGTCATTGCCTGCAATATAGAAAAATCACCATGGGGCTACCAAGAGCTGAGGGCTGGCCAGTGTGGCCACAACATCTGTACCCTCAGCCCCCACCACTGGCCTCACACAAGTGGCTTCAACTGCTCACAGCATGACCAGCTCCTGATTCCACTCATTCCCATTTGCTCTTCATTAGTCTCAAGTTCTGCCAGCTGGACAAAGAAAGTGATTTTCACAGTGCAAAGCAACTCAAGGAAAACGTGCTTTTTCTCCTAAGCCCTGAAGCACTGGTCTGTACGTTGAACAAACTGTTGGGTGGGAAGTAGTAGGAAACTGATGACATTTTAAAGAAGTTAAGCAGGGTGAGCTAAGTAATTGTAGTCTGTCATCCTAACAAAAATCTTGCCAAAATATTGAAGATCTCACTCAATTAATAAAGTATTAAAGTAAGTAACTGATACTAAACAGCATAGAGACCAGATATTTTCTGAGGAGATTAATGGTTTGGTAAATACATGTATTAGTGCTGGTGTGATAAACTTAGACTCTGGTATGACATTTGATGCAATTCTACATGATGTTGAAGCTATGAAACTGTAATGCTACACAGTAAGTTTAGCACAGATGAACTGACTTAAAAGCCAGGGGCCTGTTATGTCTCAAAGTCTACCTATACATGGAAAATCACTACTAGGAGAATTTGTTTTTCAGCAGTGACTCCCTCCTTCCCCCCAGAATACGGGGCTAGATACTGGTAGAGTTTGTAAATTACTCAGGAATGTACTCAACTACAAGTGGAGACTGAGTATACTTAGTTTAGAAATAAGATAATTATTATCATTAAGTGTAATTATCCATTTCAATACTCTATCAAGTCTGGTGGAGTATTTCACTGAAGAAAATAGTTTAAGGTAGACTGTTTACTTTTCCTAAAAGAAATCTAAATTCAGCTGCAGACACTGACTCAAAAGAAGAATTAAGTCAAGAAAATGCTCTGCTTCTGGGAAGTACAGATGAGCACAATGCCTTTTTTTTTTTCCCTTGGCCTTAAAATTCATGAAGTACAAATTTTGGTTATGTTTACTTTTAGAGAGCAGTGCCTTCCCTTACTCCCAACAGCACCAAGCCTAAATAAACAACATATCAATACAATGGATAGAGACGCAGTTCAGACCTGTGGGTGGCTGGATCCAACTTCTTGAAAACTAACTCATGAAAAAGTACATTTAGAGTAAAGTAAGTTTAGAGTACATTCAAGGGTGCTTGTGGTGACATAAAACTCACACGCTTTCTTTGACTAAATTTGTTTTGGAGTCTCAGCATAAAGACACAGCTCCAATTCTAATGTTAGCAAGCATTTGTATACAAATGGGTCTAGCCAGAAATGTGCATGCCAGGAAAGATTAGCTCAGCAACAGAGGGTTTCCCTGAATGTCCAGGCACAAAAATAATAGTCACGTCACTGGAAAGAAAGTTTCCATAAGATTATAAAGAAATATCTACTTTCTCTTTAGCAAATCTCAGTGTGGATCACTCTCAGAATTGTCCTGAGTTGCTCAAAACAAAACAAAAAATAAACAGAACAACCAGTCAGTGATGAAGCTGTTTTTAGTCATGTCTTTTGGATCACCATTAAGTGCTTGTGTGTATGTTATAAAAACAACATGTACTTGTACTGCCTGCAACAGAATATAGAGATGGGAGTTGGAATCCTTGAATACATCCTCAGGTTTTCTTCAGTGACCACAGCTGTGCTTCATAAAGCTTAGATTTTGGAGACTTAGCACTCCCATTATTTATTTTGATGAGGATTACTATTTCCATTGCGATATTGCTTGTAAACTAATTGCTCTTTGCAAGGGAATGACACTACACTAGAAATTAACAGCCCCAAGCCTGCCAGGAGGGAGTAAGGGCTACTTTCCACCACAGGGACCATGCTGGGTTGAGCACCAGCCCTCCACAGCACCAGAGGGGCAGAGGAAGCGAGGCAGCACCAGGGCACTGCTTGTCCCTTCTGTCCTGGCCATCACTCACCAGTCAGCCCAGCAAAACAAAACAAAGAAAACAAAACAAAACACAGGCATGAGCCAGCAAATAGATAGGGGAGGCAGCGACCCATGCTCCCACGTAGAGTCCCAGGGGA